GATAAAGTCATTTTCTGAAGGGGACTTTATATGGGGGGTAGGGTCAATTATGGGCCTAGCCTTATAAAATTCCACGGAGAGATTTATGTTCCTATAGAACATGTTTGTGCCGAATTTCACCGCTATTGATGCTTCTCTTAGCCAATTATGGGCGATAAAGTCATTTTCTGAAGGGGACTTTATATGGGGGGTAGGGTCAATTATGAGCCTATCCTTATAAAATTTAAAAAAGAAATTTAGGTTCCCATGAAACATGTTTGTGCCGAATTTCACCGCTATTGGTTCTTCTCTTAGCAAGTTATGAGCGATAAAGTCATTTTTGAAGGGGACTTTATATGGGGGGTAGGGTCAATTATGGACCGATCCTTATAAAATTTTACAGAGAGATTTAGGTTCCCATAAAACATGTTTGTGCCGAATTTCACCGCTATTGATGATTCTCTTAGCCAGTTATGGGCGATAAAGTCATTTTCTGAAGGGGACTTTATATGGGGGGTAGGGTCAATTATGGACCGATCCTTATAAAATTCTACGAGGAGATTTAGGTTCCCATAAAACATATTTGTGCCAAATTTCACCTCTATTGGTTCTTCCCTTAGCAAGTTATGAGCGATAAAGTCATTTTCTGAAGGGGGCCTTATATGGGGGCTAGGCGAAATCGTGGACCGATATTGCCCATTTTCAATACCAAACGAACTGCATCAACTAAAAGTATTTATGCAAAATTTCAGCTCTCTAGCTACTTCCGTTTGGGCTCTATCGTGTTTTCAACAGACAGACAGACAGACGGACAGACGGACGGACATGGCTAGATCGTCTTAGAATCTAATAAGGACCCAGAATATATATACTTTTATGGGTCTTAGACGAATATTTCAATGTGTTACAAACGGAATGACAAAAACAATATACCCCCCATCTTTTTTGATGGTGGGTATAAAAACATGCTTGAAAATGAAGAATGAAGAAATTCATTTAAAAAATAAACACTTGTCATTTATGTAGAAGACTGTGCGCGCAAAAAACGAATCTTTCAGAAAAAGATGAATATGCAGCTAAAGCTGGATCTGAAGCTAAAGAAAAATAAACAGGCTTTTTTTCGCTCTTTCCACAATTCTTAAGAAAGAAAAAGACACAAAAAAAAATTATACCATAATCATCATAATAACAATAAAACTGAACTGATGCTTATCTGGGGTACGTGCAAGACAAACAGACAAACAAATAAACATAAATTCTGTTTTAAATATGTTTGCAACCAACAAACGAAAAAAAAAAAACTTTCTTTAAAAATTTTATTTTTTTGAGAAAAAAATATGGGTTGACAGCTTATGTCAACACGCCTTTTCATGTAAAAAACAACACATTTTTTTTTTTTTGTCAGACAAAATGTAAATAAAAACAATTAACATTTCAAATAAATAATAATAATAAACAACTAAAACACAAAATATTATTAATAACACAAAAAAAAAAAAAAAAAAAAAAAAAAAAAAAAAAAAAACAAGAGAACTCGATTTTTATACACGATCCTCGACCAGCAAATACAACATGTGTTACGATTAAAATCAAAACCAAATGTAGAGCACATAATTTCAGACAGCTCGTAAAATGTTTCTTTAAACATTTTTGGAAGATTTTTTTTTTCTGAACAAGAAAACAACTCATGTTTAACTAACTTAACAGTTTGTAAGTTTTGTTAAAATAACTTAATTAGGGTTTGGTAGCTGGAAGGGATCTTAATAAGTTGTAAAGTTGTCCCATTATAGTTATGTCTTAACATTAATTTTCAATTAAAAAATTCGTTAAGTTTCAATTAAAACTTTGTTGCTAATTGCTTCAGAATATTAAATATCATTTCGATCACTAGTCATAGTCAATATATTGAAGATCATATCTAGCTTGATCTTGCTTCTGATCGCCAATTAAGTAGCAATTTATAAAAGAAAAAAATAAGTTCTTGAGAGAATCATAATATTGATAAGATCGCTCAGCTCTAGAATTTGTTCTCAACCATCATTAACTTGTCGATCAGAATAATTTGTTTTCGACAACTAATTCAAATTGGTTCAAATTGGAAGAGTCTTCAAAATTTGTTTGAATAACATCTTGAATAAGAACTTTGGATCCAGACATGCTCCTGTTTTATTTTACATGAGTGACATCTTGATGTTTTAAGCTCGTGGTGGTGCTAAGATACGTCATCGCTCAACTGTGACTTGTAAAGCTCACACAGGAGCTTTACGAGAGAGAATCAGGATATTTATAAGATCGCTAAGCTCTAGACTTTGACCTCAACCATCATTATCTTGTCGATCAGAATACTTTGTTTCCGTCAACTAATTCAAATTAGTACACATTTGTTAAAATCGGAAGAGTCTTCAAAATCTGTTTGAATGACTTCTTGGATAAGAACTTTGGATCCAGACAAGCTCCTGTTTTGCTTTACATGAGTGACCATCTTGATGTTCTAAACTTGTGGTGGTCATATGGTGAGCTAGATAAGACACGGCATTGCTCAATTGTGACTTGTAAAGCACACACAGGAGCTTTACAATAGAGAATCAGGATTTTGATAAGATCGCTCCGATCTTGACTTTGTCCTCAACCGTCATTATCTTGTCGAACAGAATACTTTTGTGGTCGAGCAGAATTCTTTTTTTCCGTCAACTAATTCAAATTCGATCAAATTGGTTCAAATCTAAAGAGTTTTTTTAAATCTGTTCGAATAACTTCTCGGGTAAAAACTTTGGATCCAGACAAGCTCCTGTTCTGTTTTACATGAGTGACCATCTTGATGTTCTAAGCTCGTGGTGGTGCTAAGATACGTCATCGCTCAACTGTGACTTGTAAAGCTCACACAGGAGCTTTACGAGAGAGAATCAGGATATTTATAAGATCGCTAAGCTCTAAACTTTGACCTCAACCATCATTATCTTGTCGATCAGAATACTTTGTTTCCGTCAACTAATTCAAATTAGTACACATTTGTTCAAATCGGAAGAGTCTTCAAAATCTGTTTGAATAACGTCTTGGATAAGAACTTTGGATCCAGACAAACACCTGTTTTGTTTTACATGAGTAACCATCTTGATGACCTAAGCTCATGGTGGTCATGTTCATATGGTGAGCTAGATAAGATACGCCATTACATGTTGATAAGATCGCTCAGATCTTGACTTTGCCCTCAACCATCATTATCTTGTCGATCAGAATAATTTTGTTGTCGAGAAGAATACTTTGTTTCCGTCAACTAATTCAAATTCGATGAAATTGGTTCAAATCTAAAGAGTTTTTTTTAATCTGTTTGAATAACTTCTCGGGTAAAAACTTTGGATCCAGACAAGCTCCTGTTTTGTTTTACATGAGTGACTATCTTGATGTTCTAAGCTCATGGTGGTCATGTTCATATGGTGAGCTGGATAAGATACGCCATCGTTCAACTGTGACTCGTAAAGCACACACAGGAGCTTTATAAGAGAGAATCAGGATGTTGATAAGAGCGCTTAGATCTAGACTTTGACCTAAACCATCATTATCTTGTCGATTAGAAACTAATTCAAATTCGATCAAATTGGTTCACATCTAAAGAGCTTGATGATATTTTCTCACAGGATAAGCTAGAGATGACTTACCACTGCCCCTTAGTTACTACAAAAGAGCAAGAATGTATAGGCTGATTGCTTAAGTACTCGAGCTATTTAATTTCTGACAATTGCAGTCCCGTTGTTAGAATATACCAGAAGCCTTTGTCCATAAAATATATACGCGTAAGCTCACTGAGAAGTCTTTGTTAGATCAAGGTATGTTCTCCCTCTATTAGACAAGACATTGCTTCTTTACACACAGATAACACTGTGCGGTAGGTCAGGTAAAATCTCCAAAACATTTCCCGAAAATTATAGAAATATATCGAGAAAACAAGGACAGGAATACTGCATGTTTCTATCACCATTCTACTCATCATACAGACTTCCCAGTCGACGTATTTAAGAAAATATTAATCCGTAACATTCGCTAGGAAGTGAGGGTGGATGAGTCAACTCATTCCCAACATATATTCATCGCAGTCCTCTATGGGATTCTGTCAGCAACAGCACCTAAAACTTATATTGATTTTACTGTACATAAGTCTTTAATCCAACATTCTATTCCCGCGATGTGAAGATCAAATACACTACTTTTTTCCGGAGGAACCTTCCCAATAGATAAATCGCGCCAGTTAAGTATGAACCCCAACTGAATCCCCTAATACAAGATTAGATAAGTTCGATTAATCCCGCGAGTCAAATAACTCCAAGACTTGTCGCGGCAGACTAGAATTGCTGATAGCACCTCTACGCTGCTATAACAACAAGATGTCGGCGGTTTATCAAAGTAACGTTGCCTTGCCATCAAAGTAACGTTGCCTTGCCTTGCTTGGAAAAAAAATTCTAGATCAATATATTGATCTTAAGTCAAATACTAGGACCGTTCATTACCAACCATTGGTTTTCAGCTTATACTTCGTATGGTTCGCAAATCCCGAACAAACTTTGAATTAGTCGATTAACCAGTCCTTTCCCCGGTATATTCATGAGGGATATCAGAGAAATAATTTGTAAAAGGTAAACAAATTTAGATTCAACACAAGAAGGAGACTTATGCGCGAGTGATGTTAAAGAATGTTTCTACGTCGAAATATTTGTTGATCATTTCGATCTGGGAAAAAACTTTGTAAGGTTCCCAAGTAGCGAAGAACCAGACTTTTTCTCAGTATATCCATGAGGAAAGATATCACAAAAGTTTTAACTTTAGTTTAAAAGTGTTGAAGAGATTGCAGGGGAGACCAACTGGTGGCTGGTTATTTCGTACGATCAGATGAACATTTATCTAAACTGGTCACTTTCTTTGGATCCCTCAGGATCTGTAGATCTGTATTTAGGTACCGTTGCTCCAATTAGACTCCAAAGAGCATAAGTTTATGAGTTAAAGTACATAAGAAACAATCTCAAACTTACCTTAGTTCTGTAGAGAGGATTACTGAAGTCCCAATCTGGTGCAACGAATAAATAACCACATTTTGAAACTTTGCGAGAAGCCTGTAAATAAAAATTAATATTTATTAGAAAATGTTAAAAGTTTTATTTATATTCTAATTATTAAATATAAAATAATATATAAGAATTGTTTAAAGAAAGTCTCGGCTATAGGGCGAGAACTCATTTTTCAACCTCTACCGGTAACTCATTTTCATTCAAACTATCATAACACTACTTAAGTTCTCATCAGAGTTATACCACAGAGAGGCAGTGCATTTTAATCAAACAAATTAACAGATTAATTTAATTCCACAATTTAGTTCCTTTTCACTCTAATAATATAATAAATCATATTAAATAAAAACTATTTCTTAAAAATGTCAATACACAACTAACCACTTTAACTTGTTAACTTTCCTTTCCAATTTTATTCTAAATTATTTTAAAATAATTATCTCAAATATAATTAATTTTTGTTGTTTTTTTTTTTTTTTTTTTTTTTTGTTTTGCTTCATAACCCAAAGTCTTTTTCTAACTAATAAATCACTTTATAAAAATTGCATCAAACAGCTGGCGCTGCTACTCACAGTCATCTACTGGTAGCAACAGTAGCCATTATTTTCTCATTGTTTGCATTTTTTCAACAGCTTCTGTTTTGTGAGATATTTTGTTAAAAAATTAATTTAAAATTCAAACTAGCGTAAATTACATTTAATAGACCATTTTAAATGATTTTCACATCGTTTAAGTTAAAGTAATAACAAAACTTTAAGACAGGGCTAAGAAAACGAACAAACTTCAAATCGTTCATATAACTAAAACAAAGTAATAGTAGTAGTAGCTTGACTGTAATAATAATTGTATAATAATTATAAGTGATTATATGTTAGAGAGAAGAAGAAAAAAATACTACAACAAAATATGCATGTAATTATCAATTTGTTTCACTTTGAACCCTTTGGGAAATCAATGAATATGTTGGCATTGTTGCTTAGCTGTCAGGGTTTTGATATTTGTTGTTCGAAGGGAAATGTTGCTGGATAATTAATCAGCCATTAGAAAGGTAAAGAGGAATTGTTTAGAAAGTTGGGAATATGTAGAAAAATGAAATTAAGTTTGACTGTATGGCTAATGTGATTAAGTTAAAAGGTTGTAATTTGTTATGTTTCGTTAAGTAGCTGGAAAGTAGAAATGTGTTAAATTTGGTATGAAATAACAAACTGAGTTGTCTTTAAGGTACGAAAACAGTTTTCTTGAGTAAAAAAACAATCGACAGATTGGTCTATATGATCGATCTGAGTAACTCTTCATATAGTTTCAAACTACAACTGAACTAGAACTTAACCAGAACTGAACTATACCTGAACTAGAACAGAACTAAAACAGAACAACAACAGAACTCGAACTGGGCCCAAATTATGGCATACGATAATCGATCGAAATCTCCATTTAGATTCTATTGAGATTTCGATCGATATCGTATGCCATAATTTGGGCTCTGAACTAGAACTGAACTAGAACTGAACCACAACTGAACTAGAACTGAACTAGAACTGAACTAGAACTGAACTAGAACTGAACTAGAACTGAACTAGAACTGAACTAAGAACTGAACTAGAACTGAACTAGAACTGAACTAGAACTGAACTAGAACTGAACTAGAACTGAACTAGAACTGAACTAGAACTGAACTAGAACTGAACTAGAACTGAACTAGAACTGAACTAGAACTGAACTAGAACTGAACTAGAACTGAACTAGAACTGAACTAGAACTGAACTAGAACTGAACTAGAACTGAACTAGAACTGAACTAGAACTGAACTAGAACTGAACTAGAACTGAACTAGAACTGAACTAGAACTGAACTAGAACTGAACTAGAACTGAACTAGAACTGAACTAGAACTGAACTAGAACTGAACTAGAACTGAACTAGAACTGAACTAGAACTGAACTAGAACTGAACTAGAACTGAACTAGAACTGAACTAGAACTGAACTAGAACTGAACTAGAACTGAACTAGAACTGAACTAGAACTGAACTAGAACTGAACTAGAACTGAACTAGAACTGAACTAGAACTGAACTAGAACTGAACTAGAACTGAACTAGAACTGAACTAGAACTGAACTAGAACTGAACTAGAACTGAACTAGAACTGAACTAGAACTGAACTAGAACTGAACTAGAACAGAACTAGAACAGAACTAGAACTAGAACAGAACTAGAACAGAACTAGAACAGAACTAGAACAGAACTAGAACAGAACTAGAACAGAACTAGAACAGAACTAGAACAGAACTAGAACAGAACTAGAACAGAACTAGAACAGAACTAGAACAGAACTAGAACAGAACTAGAACAGAACTAGAACAGAACTAGAACAGAACTAGAACAGAACTAGAACAGAACTAGAACAGAACTAGAACAGAACTAGAACAGAACTAGAACAGAACTAGAACAGAGCTAGAACAGAACTAGAACAGAACTAGAACAGAACTAGAACAGAACTAGAACAGAACTAGAACAGAACTAGAACAGAACTAGAACAGAACTAGAACAGAACTAGAGCGGAACTAGAACAGAACTAGAACAGAACTATAACAGAACTAGAACAGAACAGAACTATAACAGAACTAGAACAAAACTAAAACAGAACTAGAACTGAACTAGAACAGAACTAGAACAGAACTAGAACAGAACAAGAACAGAACTAGAACAGAACTGGAACAGAACTAGAACAGAACTAGAACAGAACTAGAATTGAACTAGAACAGAACTAGAACAGAACTAGAACAGAACTAGAACAGAACTAGAACAGAACTAGAACAGAACTAGAACAGAACTAGAAGAGAACTAGAACTGAACTAGAACTGAACTAGAACTGAACTAGAACTGAACTAGAACTGAACTAGAACTGAACTAGAACTGAACTAGAACTGAACAAGAACTGAACTAGAACTGAACTAGAACTGAACTAGAACTGAACTAGAACTGAACTAGAACTGAACTAGAACTGAACTAGAACTGAACTAGAACTGAACTAGAACAGAACTAGAACTGAACTAGAACTGAACTAGAACTGAACTAGAACTGAACTAGAACTGAACTAGAACTGAACTAGAACTGAACTAGAACTGAACTAGAACTGAACTAGAACTGAACTAAACTAGAACTGAACTAGAACTGAACTAGAACTGAACTAGAACTGAACTAGAACTGAACTAGAACTGAACTAGAACTGAACTAGAACTGAACTAGAACTGAACTAGAACTGAACTAGAACTGAACTAGAACTGAACTAGAACTGAACTAGAACTGAACTAGAACTGAACTAGAACTGAACTAGAACTGAACTAGAACTGAACTAGAACTGAACTAGAACTGAACTAGAACTGAACTAGAACTGAACTAGAACTGAACTAGAACTGAACTAGAACTGAACTAGAACTGAACTAGAACTGAACTAGAACTGAACTAGAACTGAACTAGAACTGAACTAGAACTGAACTAGAACTGAACTAGAACTGAACTAGAACTGAACTAGAACTGAACTAGAACTGAACTAGAACTGAACTAGAACTGAACTAGAACTGAACTAGAACTGAACTAGAACTGAACTAGAACTGAACTAGAACTGAACTAGAACTGAACTAGAACTGAACTAGAACTGAACTAGAACTGAACTAGAACTGAACTAGAACTGAACTAGAACTGAACTAGAACTGAACTAGAACTGAATTAGAACTGAACTAGAACCGAACTAGCACTAGAACTGAACTAGAACAGAACTAGAACAGAACTAGAACTGAACTAGAACAGAACTAGAACAAAACTAGAACAGAACTAAAACAGAACTAGAACAGAACTAGAACAGAACAGAACTAGAACTGAACTAAGACAGAACTAGAACAGAACTAGAACAGAACTAGAACAGAACTAGAACAGAACTAGAACAGAACTACAACAGAACTACAACAGAACTAGAACAGAACTAGAACAGAACTAGAGCAGAACTACAACAGAACTAGAACAAAACTAGAACAGAACTAGAACAGAACTAGAACAGAACTAGAACAGAACTAGAACAGAACTAGAACAGAACTAGAACAGAACTAGAACAGAAACTAGAACATAACTAGAACAAAACTAGAACAGAACTAGAACAGACTAGAACAGAACTAGATCAGAAATAGAACAGAACTAGAACAGAACTAGAACAGAACTAGAACAGAACTAGGTCGACTAGACAACTAGAACAGAACCTAGAACAGAACTAGAAACAGAACTAGAACAGAACTAGAACAGAACTAGAACAGAACTAGAACAGAACTAGAAAACAGAACTAGAACAGACAGAACAGAACTAGAACAAAACTAGAACAGAACTAGAACAAACTAGAACAGAACTAGAACAGAACTAGAACTGAACTAGACGAACTAGAACTGAACTAGAACTGAACTAGAACTGAACTAGAACTGAACTAGAACTGAACTAGAACTGAACTAGAACTGAACTAGAACTGAAACTAGAACTGAACTAGAACTGAACTAACTGAACTGAACTAGAACTGAACTAGAACTGAACTAGAACTGAACTAGAACTGAACTAGAACTGAACTAGAACTGAACTAGAACTGAACTAGAACTGAACTAGAACTGAACTAGAACTGAACTAGAACTGAACTAGAACTGAACTAGAACTGAACTAGAACTGAACTAGAACTGAACTAGAACTGAACTAGAACTGAACTAGAACTGAACTAGAACTGAACTAGAACTGAACTAGAACTGAACTAGAACTGAACTAGAACTGAACTAGAACTGAACTAGAACTGAACTAGAACTGAACTAGAACTGAACTAGAACTGAACTAGAACTGAACTAGAACTGAACTAGAACTGAACTAGAACTGAACTAGAACTGAACTAGAACTGAACTAGAACTGAACTAGAACTGAACTAGAACTGAACTAGAACTGAACTAGAACTGAACTAGAACTGAACTAGAACTGAAATGAACTAGAACTGAACTAGAACTGAATTAGAACAGAGGTAGAACTGAATTTAGAACTAAGTTGGGGCAATGAGTTTATTTAATAAGACCTTAAGAGATTAAAGAGAATGAATTTGAAAATATATTTTTTTTTGTATAAATCAGAAGAATTTCAATTAATTTTTTTTTAAGTGGGCAGTCAAAAAATAACCCAAAAAATTACCGCCATTATCTAAATCAATTTATCAATAATGAGTCATGTAACATAAATCATGCACAGAATTATAAAAAAAAGCGACAGCAGTTATAAAAGTGTAAAATGTATTTTAATAATCTAACTTCAAATCACTTTGGCAGAGTTCGTGTTTAAAATCTTTTCTGACATTTAATGGAGTTTTTTTTAAAGCTTTCAGTAAAACATGGTAAATATAATTTGGGCAAAAAACATTGCATATTAATGGCATTTTGGTGAGACACTAGTTTTACGATTAAGTCATAAATTTTCTCTCATAAAACCCCGAAAAATAGAATTACCAGTAATTTTTGGCCACAACTGAGCTTTACCACTTAAAAAAAAATGTTAATTAATTTTAATGCTTTTTTTGTTTATTTTGGTTTAACAGAAAAAATATTGTGTTTTTATCTTAATTAATAAATAAAGTTTATCAATTAATTAAGTTCACACTATTATCTGGGTTATGAAAATGTTATTTATAAAAATAATACAAAAAAGAATAGACGAAAATAAGATTGAGAATAAAATGGGCGAAAAAAAAACTAAGATTAAATACATGAGAAGTGTAATGCTCTAGATTATAAAGCTTTCAACTTTTAAATTACAAGTTTTATTAAAAATAATAGTTTTGTTGTCTCTAAGGCAGTGATGGGCAATATACATTTTACGAAGTAGTAGAAGAAGAAGTGGTTTTTAATGATTAAAACGAACACAACTATTGCAAGATAATAACTCTCACACTGTACTTTTTTGGCTAAGTACTCACACTCTTACTACAAGAAATGCCCATGACTGGGGCAGAGTTGACATAAGGCACGTGTAATAACTTTGTTTAAAGAAATTCCTTTAAATTTCTTAGAAAACAAACGGTAGCTTTTACAATAGCCCAACAAATTCTGGCCTTTTAATAACAAAATGACCAATATTATCATATCAACGTGATTGTTTTTGGTAATAATTCAGAAATTACCAAATATGTAAAATCAACACACATTATTACCAAAAAAACGCCAATAAAATGTGTCTATATTCATTGACTCATTGCTGTGGTTTATGTATTTGCCTTTAAACATTTTTAAACGTTTTGCCAAATAAATTATGGCAAAAAAAAGAACAGCAAAAATTTAATTTAATGATTGCTAATAATGGGCGCCAAATAAAAAAAACTTCACATACATATTTGTTGGTTTTATGGGTCATGAACAGTAGCAGTTGGTTTTTATTTGTTTGTTTGCTTGCTTGTATGTACGTCCTCTGTATTGTGGGAGAATTTCTTAGAAATCGTACAAATATGGTCAGAAGTGGTAAACAAGACATGAACAAATAATTTTTGTTTAAATTTTATTTTTAATAATTTATAACATGTGTTACAAGTCAGTTTTTTGGGGGTAAATTGAAGTGGTTTTTATAATGAACAATTTTAAATGTTCGAAATTTTTCCTAAGAATTTTGTAAAGAGTCAAATACATATTGATAAAAGAACATTTTTTAAAATTTATAATTTAAGAATTTGTTAAGAAAATGCTTATGAAAGCATCTGCGTTGGACAAGTGTCAGCTATAGAATCGACTATCGCCCAGCTTGAATATAAACTGAGCTAGAACTGAACAGAACTGAAACTATAAGGGAACACGAACTTGAGAACTTGAGCAGAATAAGAACAGAGCTATAACAGAACTTGAACTAGAACAGAACTAGAAAAGAACTACAACAGAACTAGAACAGAACTAGAACAGAACTAGAACAGAACTAGAACAGAACTAGAACAGAACTAGAAAAGAACTACAACAGAACTAGAACAGAACTAGAACAGAACTAGAACAGAACTAGAACAGAACTAGAACAGAACTAGAACAGAACTAGAACAGAACTAGAACAGAACTAGAACAGAACTAGAACAGAACTAGAACAGAACTAGAACAGAACTAGAACAGAACTAGAACAGAACTAGAACAGAACTAGAACAGAACTAGAACAGAACTAGAACAGAACTAGAACAGAACTAGAACAGAACTAGAACAGAACTAGAACAGAACTAGAACAGAACTAGAACAGAACTAGAACAGAACTAGAACAGAACTAGAACAGAACTAGAACAGAACTAGAACAGAACTAGAACAGAACTAGAACAGAACTAGAACAGAACTAGAACAGAACTAGAACAGAACTAGAACAGAACTAGAACAGAACTAGAACAGAACTAGAACAGAACTAGAATAGAACTAGAACAGAACTCGAACAGAACTAGAACAGAACTAGAACAGAACCAGAACAGAATTAGAACAGAACCAGAACAGAACCAGAACAGAACCAGAACAGAACCAGAACAGAACCAGAACAGAACCAAAACAGAACCACAGAACCAGAACAGAACCAGAACAGAACCAGAACAGAACCAGAACAGAACAGAACCCAGACAGAACCAGAACAGAAACAGAAAAGAACCAGAACAGAACCAGAACAGAACCAGAACAGAACCAGAACAGAACCAGAACAGAACCAGAACAGAACCAGACAGAACCCGAACAAGAACCAGAACAGAAACCAGAACAGAACCAGAACAGAACCAGAACAGAACCAGAACAGAACCAGACAGAACCAGAACCGACCAGAACAGAACCAGAACAGAACCAGAAATAGAACCAGAACAGAGAACAGAACCAGAACAGAACTAGTACAGAAATAGAACAAACTGTACAGAACTAGAACTAGAACAGAACTAGAACAGAACTAGCACAGAACTAGAACAGAACTAGAACAGAACTTGAACAGAACTAGAACAGAACTAGAACAGAACTAGAAACAGAACTAGAAACAGAACTAGAACAGAACTAGAACAGAACTAGAACAGAACTAGAACAGAACTAGAACAGAACTAGAACAGAACTAGAACAGAACTAGAACAGAACTAGAACAGAACTAGAACAGAACTAGAACAGAACTAGAACAGAACTAGAACAGAACTAGAACAGAACTAGAACAGAACTAGAACAGAACTAGAACAGAACTAGAACAGAACTAGAACAGAACTAGAACAGAACTAGAACAGAACTAGAACAGAACTAGAACAGAACTAGAACAGAACTAGAACAGAACTAGAACAGAACTAGAACAGAACTAGAACAGAACTAGAACAGAACTAGAACAGAACTAGAACAGAACTAGAACAGAACTAGAACAGAACTAGAACAGAACTAGAACAGAACTAGAACAGAACTAGAACAGAACAAGAACAGAACTAGAACAGAACTAGAACAGAACTAGAACAGAACTAGAACAGAACTAGAACAGAACTAGAATAGAACTAGAATAGAACTAGAACGGAATTAGAATAGAATAGAACTAGAACGGAATTAGAATAGAATAGAACTGGAACAGAACTAGAATAGATTATAATAGAACCAGAACAGAAATAGAACTGAATTAGAACAGAACTTGAACAGAACTTGAAGTGAACTAAAAGACAACTATAATTAAACCAGAACTGAATTAGAACAGAACTAGAACTGAAATAGAAATAGAACTACTCTAGAGTTGATCGAGTACTGAAGTAGAACTGTATTAAAAGTCTCAGCTTTTGGTACAGTTAATTTCAGCTATAGCCTCAGCAGTATTCTGTTTAAAATATTGAAGAATATAGCCGGAATTTAGCTTTAGTCAAAGCTTAAACCAAAATGATTTGAATTTTTGTAAAGCAGTTTTATTTATTTCAAAAATGTTTTAGTTATTTTCTATTTGCTATTTTGTCTTTTAGCACTTAATATCAAAACTATTTATGTCGAATATTTGAGAGAGTTTTGTGCCATATTTTCATTAGGCGTTGGCAATTTATTTTTCAAATTATTGCTTGTCTTTCAATTTATATATTTTTTTGGTTAAGTGCAAAACATGCTGTGTTTTGACCATTAAATAAAATAACCATAGATATGTTACCATATCTTTATTTTTATCTAAAAATAAAAAACAAATCACATAAAATAAAAACTACATTAAAAATTTTACTTACGGGTTTAATAATCACCGGCTGTTTTAAAAAGTTTTTTTTTTTTTTTTTGCAAGTGTTTTGTGTTTGTTAGTGAAAGCATGTAAAAAAGTTTACAAAAGAAAATAAATAGTTAATTTAAAATTTTATAGGCAATACCGAAAATTTAGGCGAATATAGTGTTAACATTAACAATTGAACTTTATAATCACTCTATTAAATTAATGACACGCAAATGTTACAATTTAATTAAAAAATTACGGAAAGGTGGTTTTTAGCAAATATTGCAAAAAAGCAAAACTTTACCACAGTAATACTACAATAACTATTTTGATTTAAAGATGACATTTAGCTGACATTAATACGATGAGCGGGAAAAAAGTAAACAACAAAACCGCAGCCCCCAATGGAAAATGTGGCAAAAAAATACTACTTGGGGCAAGTAACTAGTTTTGGTTAAAACCAAAAAATTACAATACAAGTTTACTTTGTGGTTAAAAAAAAACTACAAAAAATGTTTAAGTAATAATTGCAAAGATGTTGTTGTAGTTTTTTGGATGCTTGAACTTAAAAGAAAATCTGAAGCTACTTGCTATATAATGTAACGTAAACGAAGATGAAATAGAAGAAAAAAAACCCAAAAAAAAACATTTGAAAAATTGGAAAATGTCATAAAAGTCACGATTTGTTTTAGGTTGAGCAAAAAATACATGAAAATAAAGACTAAATACAAGAATTAAATAACACTATATAGAGATGAGTTAACTACTGGTTTATGATGAAGTTGTTGTTATCTAATACTTGTACTATTACCTTAATAGCGGCCGGAAAAAAACCAACTACAATTTTCTATATAAAGTTTTAACAAAGCCTTAAGGGAACTCTTGTGCATTTCATAATGTTTATGAGAAGAAATATGTTTAATAAATTTTTCATGTTATATGAGGGGAAAATGAGCTTTAATGTAATGTTAATGAAGAGGTTAATTTTGGGTTAAAAACAGTTTACACAATTTTAGTTTTGATTTGAATATAAATATGTCAAATATTGGGCAAGATTTTACTTATTTAAGATAGAGCTAAAGTCGTTGAGGTTAAAAAGTTCACAGGATTTCCAATAAGAAGAATTTGAACGAATACTAATAGAACAAGAACAGAACTAGAACAGAACTAGAACAGAACTAGAACAGAACTAGAACAGAACTAGAACAGTACTAGAACAAAACTAGAACAGAACTAGAACAGAACTAGAACAGAACTAGAACAGAACTAGAACAGAACTAGAACAGAACTAGAACAGAACTAGAACAGAACTAGAACAGAACTAGAACAGAACTAGAACAGATCTAGAACAGAACTAGAACAGAACTAGAACAGAACTAGAACAGAACTAGAACAGAACTAGAACAGAACTAGAACAGAACTAGAACAGAACTAGAACAGAACTAGAACAGAACTAGAACAGAACTAGAACAGAACTAGAACAGAACTAGAACAGAACTAGAACAGAACTAGAACAGAACTAGAACAGAACTAGAACAGAACTAGAACAGAACTAGAACAGAACTAGAACAGAACTAGAACAGAACTAGAACAGAACTAGAACAGAACTAGAACAGAACTAGAACAGAACTAGAACAGAACTAGAACAGAACTAGAACAGAACTAGAACAGAACTAGAACAGAACTAGAACAGAACTAGAACAGAACTAGAACAGAACTAGAACAGAACTAGAACAGAACTAGAACAGAACTAGAACAGAACTAGAACAGAACTAGAACAGAACTAGAACAGAACTAGAACAGAACTAGAACAGAACTAGAACAGAACTAGAACAGAACTAGAACAGAACTAGAACTGAACTGAACTGAACTAGAACTAAGCTAGAACTGATCAAGAACTGAACTAGAACTGAACTAGAACTGAACTAGAACTGAACAAGAACTGAACTAGAACTCAACTAGAACTGAACTTGAACTGAGCTAGAACTGAACTAGAACTGAACCAGAACTGAACTAAAACTGAACTAGAACTAAACTAGAACTGAACTAGAACTGAACTAGAACTAGAACTGAACTAGAACTGAACTAGAACTGAACTAGAACTGAACTAGAACTGAACTAGAACTGAACTAGAACTGAACTAGAACTGAACTAGAACTGAACTAGAACTGAACTAGAACTGAACTAGACCTGAATTAGAACTAAACTAGAACTGAACTCGAACTGAACTCGAACTGAACTCGAACTGAACTCGAACTGAACTCGAACTGAACTCGAACTGAACTAGAACTGAACTAGAACTGAACAAGAACTGAACAAGAACTGAACAAGAACTGAACTAGAACTGAACAAGAACTGAACAAGAACTGAACTAGAACTGAACTAGAACTGAACTAGAACTGAACTAGAACTGAACTAGAACTGAACTAGAACTGAACTAGAACTGAACTAGAACTGAACTAGAACTGAACTAGAACTGAACTAGAACTGAACTAGAACTGAACTAGAACTGAACTAGAACTGAACTAGAACTGAACTAGAACAGAATTAGAACAGAACTAGAACAGAACTAGAACAGAACTAGAACAGAACTAGAACAGAACTAGAACAGAACTAGAGCAGAACTAGAACAGAACTAGAACAGAACTAGAACAGAACTAGAACAGAACTAGAACTGAACTAGAACTGAACTAGAACTGAACTAGAACTGAACTAGAACTGAACTAGAACTGAACTAGAACTGAACTAGAACTGAACTAGAACTGAACTAGAACTGAACTAGAACTGAACTAGAACTGAACTAGAACTGAACTAGAACTGAACTAGAACTGAACTAGAACTGAACTAGACCTGAACTAAACCTGAACTAGAACTGAACTAGAACTGAACTAGAACTGAACTAGAACTGAACTAGAACTGAACTAGAACTGAACTAGAACTGAACTAGAACTGAACTAGAACTGAACTAGAACTGAACTAGAACTGAACTAGAACTGAACTAGAACTGAACTAGAACTGAACTAGAACTGAACTAGAAAATCTTAAATTGAGTTGGACCTGGTTTAAGCAATATTTGAGTATCTTATAAACTTTTTAAAAATATTTTGTATGAAGCTTTACCATTGTTTAATTTAAAGCTCAACAAATTTTTACGCAACAGCCGTTTCTCTCTATCAATCAATAATTTGCAAAATCATTTAACTTTTCCTAAGGGTGTTGCCAGCAAAAATCTTACATACCGATAAAGACAAAAAGAAATTTATTTATTTTAAAACTTAAAAACAAAAAATATTAAATTGATTGACGTTTATTAACGAAGTCTGGAAAAAAAAACATTTTGTTTTATACAAAATGTCTAAATAAGAAAAATGTTCAATGAAATAGGCCCTCAAATTATAAGTGATTATTGGTAATTTTAATACAACTGTTTTAAAATTTTCAGTTGTTATTTAATAATAAGTAATTGAACCATCAATATTTTAAACAAAAGAGAGATATAGGTAAAGCTTTCGGTTTCACTTAAACAAGAGTTTGTTGGCATGATGATTATTAAACAAAATGGGTTGCTTGTCAAAAACATCGTTTGGTTGCCATAAGCATAAGTTTTTTTTTTGGGTCCAAAGTTATTATATTTCCTTCTTTTTGGAGAAACATACAACAGCTAATAAATCGTTTAACAAATGATTTGCTTAAACTTTTTTCTTTTTTTTTGGGGTCTTACGTGTCAATATATCGGCGAAAAACACATATAAGAAATTGGTAACAAAATACTTGAAATAGTTGAAAGTAAATTTTGTTTTATTACCTGCAGTTTTAGTTTAAGGGAACAAACAAGCAAAAGAAATGAAATCTAATTTTGTTATATTTATGTTTATTTATATAAAATAACATTCACGATTTGCTTTTTTAGAAATTAGAAGGAAACACTTTTTTGAAAATCGACACTCACATGAAGAATTCCAACGGTTTGTGGTTTATAGATTGATCACGCTATTCTGATTATTTTACGTTTTTATTGGGTCTTTTTTTTAAGAAGCTTAATATTGACAGATCATTTAGCTAAACATGCGAGGGTGGTAATAGAAATCTTAAAATTTTCTTTTCACTCAATTATTGCTCTCAGATTTATTCAATTATTATAAAGAAAGATGATTAGAAAAATATTTTGAAAACTCTATTAAGAAATTTTATATCTAAAGGAGAGAAAAACTTTCTTTAAATTACCAAAGACCACTCACTAGTGGTAACTTATGAATTTTGACCAAATGTTTGTGTTAAGTAGACGGAAAAGGCAAACACAACAAAAACATTAAAGCTATTAAATAAAATGATCATAGTCATTCCAAAACTATGGCCAATGAATATAAATGTGTGGCTGGCTGGCTGATGATGATGATAATATTGGTTGGTGGTGGCAATGGCATTGTTACTGGTATGGTATGGATCATTGGACGTATATATGTATGTATATACACATATGTATATATTTTGGAAGATGATGGTTATGATTGTGTCCGGTATATGCTAGTTGTCGATTTGTGGTGCTATTGTTATTGCTGCTGCTGCTGCTATTGTTGTTATTGTAATTTTCTTTCGGTGTCATATTTAATGAAAAATGAAAGTGGATGTACAACTTGTTGCGGTGACCACCTTAAAAACGACACATATCATTTATATGTATATATTGTTGCAGTTGTTACTTTTTATATAGTTTAATATATATATTTTTTTTGAGTTTCAAAGGAATTTTTATGATACATTTAAGATTTGGATATATCATTTAAAGATTAATCAGGGTGGGAATTAAAACTGGTTGTACAGAGAGAGAGAAGTCTTTTTGTTTAAAAAAAATTCCTTCAACAATTATTAAATTGTGTGTATTTAAGTGGAAATGAACAGGAATTGGATATAATATTAAGGGTATTCAGAGGGGGATGTAAAGAAGTAAAAATAGTTAAATGTAGAATACAGACTAGATTACAGACTGGATTATAGACTAGATGATAGAGTAGATTATAGACTAGACTATAGACCA